AAAAAAAATGAAAACGGTTTATTGAATGGCTCTGAATTTTCGAAGGAAAGAAGTTATCGAAATAATCGCTGATTATGCGCCTGCGGGGGTGTGTGAGTTAAGATTAACTTAATCAATGGTATAAATTTATGTCGAAACAACAGACAGACCTTTTCACTTTCCGTATCCAAAGCGCTAGTAGCCTCGTCTAGCAAAAGTATTTTGGGATTTCGTATGACTGCACGTGCAATGGCTATACGTTGTTTTTGTCCACCAGACAACATTCCACCTTTCTCACCAACAACGGTGTCGTAGCCCTGGAATCGAATGCTTGAATTGGCATAGTGTCAACTCGCACTGGTTGCCGACCTGTGGAAGCTTGGTAATAAAGTCATGTGCATTAGCTAATCTTGCCGCCTCCTCTACTAGCTCAGTAGTAGGGTTTTCGATCCCATAAGCAATATTGTCTCTGAATAAGTAGGAATCCAATTCATCGTGTTAAAAATGACCACTAACCTGATTGAATAGTTGAAAAGAGTGGGCTCCTGTCCTACAAGCGATATATGCGAACGGAGATGTCGTATATTCAGGTCGCGGGCATCCTCTTCGTCGAAAAGCTGGTACAGTAACATTATATAGATGACTAATCAAGCAGAATATTTGACACACAATTTGTACAATTTTGAACAGTTCTGGCTGAGTGGGCGGTGCTTGCCACGAAGGGCGGAGCTGTCCCATGCAATTATTATACAGTATTGCGTGCGTACGTGCAATATTGTATACGAATTGAATAAAATCCAAAAGTCTTGAGTTGAGTTGAGTTTTTTTTTTCAATCGTCTTGAGTTTATCCCCAAGTTCTGTTTTTATATTATTCGTTGCCAAGCTACGCATCTCGAAAAGTGATGCAGGGATAAATTTAGAGGGAACATACCAATTTCCCAATTGATGGATCGTAGAATCTTTCAATAAGTTGTATTGATGTACTTTTCCCACAACCGCTTGGTCCCACAAAGGCAACAGTCTTCCCTGCTGGAACCTGGAAGATCGTATCTCAAAAAGAATGTCGCATGGATCTTGGAAGCTTCCATACCTTTATATTGACGCCTTTTAGCACCATGTTCTTCTTGCTGTTCGGATATGAGAAGAAAAGCTCGTGGAATTGAATTGCGCCTTGCAATGCCTAAACAGAGCAGTGTTCACTCCTCTAGAAAGAAACCATAAAAATAGAATCAAAAAATAATAGAAACCTACAGTAGGTTTCCCCAAGGTGGACATGCTGTCAATCTTTGGTTTCTCATTCAACATTTGGAAAAGAAGTGAAGCTGATAGTCGTGCGCGAACATATTCCGGGAAATATGTGGCAAATGCTATGATAGACATTGATGCTGTATTTAGCGACTCGATTACTCTAAAAGCTCAAAATCTCTCGGACATAGTCCAGCTAAAACAAAAATAGACATACTGGAATACTGTGTATGGTGAGCAAATCTTTTGTCCAACTAACCAAATGCCGTAGAGATAAGCAATTGAAAAATTTACACACACGAAGCTTACGGATAAGGAGTAAGTAAGTGACTGTATGACTCCTGAAACAGGTAATGGGCTTTATTCTACGTTTGGAATCGAGCTCGTGTGGAATGGCTAAAATGTTATGTTTATAGG